TTAAACTATTTGGACCTAAGAACTTGATAACAGAATACTGTCGTTAACCAGAACTGTTACTTTGCTTGGCTGAGGAGTACCTGAAAAAGCATGCTGAGACTTTAGGGTTGCTGTGCAGACAACACCTGTACCCCATCTCACTGACCATATTCACAAGCGAGCTAACCACACAGTCGACTGTCTTGGCCCCTGATGAGCTTCACTCGCTGGACTACTGATGAGTTCAATGCAGACACCACTGCAATGAGCCATGGAGCCCTACAGAGCAGAGTGAAAGAGCGTTTCTGGGTTTTACACCTGAGAGTAGGATTTCTATTCCGTGTGCCTAAGTAATTTGACCAGGAGCTGCTAAATTACCCCAAGGAAGGCTATACCAGTCAGTGTGTCCCACTGGAATGCACCAGGCCAGAGATAGGACCCTACATTGTTTACCGTCACTAGCCTACATTTTCTTCTCATAGTAACTCTTTGATTTCTTAATTGCTGAGTTTTCTTTGAATCTAGAATTTTTAGAATAAATTACATCAGAAATCAGTGAAAACCAATCCATTTGAGAGTAAGTACTAGATGTGAGTTTTTCACAGAAAAGAGAAAAAAACCTCTTCATTTAGTAAGCATAATAGTGAGATTCATTGTAAAGAAGAAAACAGAAATAAACACAAATACAAGTCTTACACTCTGGTCTCCAATAAAGTAACACCAAACATTTCTTCTGTCTTTCAAGTTTTGCAGTCACATCTGACGTGACTTTTTCTCAAACTTTTTCTTTGCAAAAATTCTGAAGAAAATGTTCTAACTTCATAAAGATACATTACTTTAAAAATTCTTTTTTTTTTTTTTGTACCAGGAATCAAACTCAGGACCTCAAGCTTGCCCGGCAAGTGCTTACGCCACTGAGCTACATCACCGGCCCTCTTTTGGTTTTTTGAGACAGGGTCTTCCTATTTAGTCTAGGCTGGCTTTGAATTTGCTATGTAGCCTAGGGTAGAAATTCCTCTACCTCAACCTCCTGAATGCTTGGGTTACAGGTCTGCACTACCACGCCCAGCAAGATGCCTTTTTTTTTAGGCAGTACCTCACTGTTTTCCAAGCTAGCTTTGAACTGCTGGACTTGAGCAATCCTCTTGCATCAGCCTCTCAAGATGCATTTTAAAATTCCATTAATGTAACAGTAGTTGATTAGTTATTTTAGTCCTGTACATCCCTAAATTTGTATTCATTAGTATTGGTAATTATTGAAACCATCTAGGCTTATATATAATTTTCTGAATGAGTAGTTTTAAAAGTGAAAAGTTGGGAGTAATATTAGCAGCTTAGATTCCTATTTCCTCTACTTCCAAGACAAAGATAAAATTACGGAATTAAAAATAACCAGACATTAGCGAATGAAACAGACAAATAATTATAATTCAGATTTCATAGTTTACTGTGTGTAACTAAAATTTTGTGTGTGAGGGGAGAAGACTACATTTTGAGATGTTAGAAATTTTTCTTCTGTCTTCCATCTCAGAAATGGTAACATTATTTGTGAGATCAATTGGAAGCTCTTAGAGAGAAATATTTTGAACTATAGCCCCTGGCAGCAAACACATTTGTTTGTCTGAGTTGCAGTGTCGGAGTGGGCCTGTCTCCAGTTAAGTAACACATGCAGCTGAGGCTAAGATTTTTTAAAAGCTAATTTTGAGTTTGGAGAAAAGTTTGATGTTTAAGCAAACTGATTCTAAGGAGCTCTGATGGAAAAAGTGCTTGTCTTCACTAAAGTGTGAATATGTCCGTTTGTATTCACTTTAGAGCAAATTTGGTTTAGGAAAATGAAATGTTGGGATTAGGCTCCATTTTTCTGGCTTTCTGCCATAGCCCCGCTCCTCCCCGTGAGCCCTTGAGGCACATAATTAAGCCAAGTGGCTCTGTATGCATGAAAGAAAAGTCCAGAAAGACAAGCTGCAAAAAATCTGTAACAATTACTTGTGGAAGTGGGGTTTAGAAACTAATGGTTGGGGGTGACTTTTACATTTTAATTTACTCTGTATTGTTTAGTTTTTAATTTTTGTTTGAAAAGAATAAAAAAATAATAATAATAATTGGGGCAGATCCCAAACTGCTTAGAACTTTTAAAGCAGTCCTTTAAATAACTAGTGAGTTAAAGAGGAAGTAAAAATGCAACACACTATTTAGAAAACAGAAAAATGAAAACATCCTTATCAGAATCTTTAGAAAATACTCAGTGTTAAGTGTGTACTCTTGAATGTTTTCATTAAAGGGTGAAAGTAAATTAACTAATCCCATGTGGCTAGAATTACATACCCCAAAAGATGTTAAGTCCTAAGCCCTGGAATTGTGAATCTTATTTGGAAATAGGATGTTCAGAGTATAGTCTGTACAGGGTTGAGTTGGGCTCTAATTCAATGACCAGCATACTTTTAAGAGGGAAATTTAGGGGCTAGGTGGAATAGCTTAGTGGTAAAGCACCTCCTTAGTATGTATGAGGCCCTTAGTTTGAGGCTTAGCCCCTTTCCTTCTTAATTCCTAACGTGCTTATTTGTACCTTCTTTTTATTTGCTTTAAATAATGGGAAGTAGCATGTGTGGTGGTACACACCTGTAGTCCTAGCTACTGGGGAGGCCAAAGTGAGACCATCATTGAGCCCACAAGAGCAAGACCCACCTGGGCAACATTGTGAGACCTTTGTGTCATAAATGATTGAAATTGGTCAGTGGTTTTGCCTTTGTCCACATAATCCTTTCAAATAAGCAGTTTTTCTGGTCTGTTTTCTATTTCACTAATCTCTGATTTTGTTTTCTCCTTTTGTGGTGCTGGTGATCAAACCTAGAGCCTCTTACATTCAAAGCACCCACTCTACCACTGAGCTACACTCCCAGCCTGCAGCTCCTTACCATTTCTTTTTTGCGGGGGAGACGTGGTTTATGTAGTCCAGGTGGGTCTCAAAGTTGCAATCCTGCCAGGTATAGTGGCGCATACCTGTAATCCCAGCACTTGGGAGGCTGAGGCAGAAGGATTGCTGCAAGTTCAAGACCAGTCTGGGCTACAAAGGGAGCTCAATGCCAGCCTAAATTGCATAGCAAGACCCTGTCTCCAAAAAAAAAGTTGCAATCCTCCTGCTTTAGCCTCCCAAGTGCTGGAATTACAAGTGTGTGCCACTATGCCCAGCCTATTTTTTCATTCTTTATGTGACTGATAGACTTATTTTCTATGCTATTCCTTTAAAAAAACATTTATTTATTTATTTATTTATTTATTTATTTATTTATTTATTTATTTTTTGAGGCAGGGTCTCATTATGTGGTGTAGGCTGGCCTTGAATTCACTATGTAGCCCAGGCTGGCCTGGAATTTGCAGAGGTCCTCCTGCCTTAGCTTCCTGAATTCTGGGATTATAGGCATGCACCACCATGCCTGGCAAATCCACAGGTTTTTGGATACACAATCTTTTTGTTACTATTCACTCTGGTATATTTTCTGATTTCTGTAGTGATTCCTTCTTAGACCTACCATCATACAGAAAAGTTTTAAAGTTTCTAAATACGTGGAGAGGTTGATACATTTATCTTTCAGTTTTCGAGCTCTAACTTAGTGAATCTCCATCCTGAGTCTGCTCAGTGTCACCTTGTTAAAATACAGGTCTCAAAAATAAATGAATGAATGAATGAATAAATAAATAAATAAATTCCATCCTGAGTCTGCTCAGTGTCACCTTGTTAAAATACAGGTCTCAAAAATAAATGAATGAATGAATGAATAAATAAATAAATAAAATTACAAGTCTCTGGGACCCACTCTGGGATGGCCTCTACATTACAACAGTCACCAGTAGTAAATGACCACTTAAGTATAATTTAATTTATATAAAATTTAAATGCAATTCCTCCAGCATATTGTCTACACTTCAGGTCCTTACCAGCCACAGGTGATTATTAGTCACTGAACTGAAGAGCACTAATACAGAACACCACAGCCCTTATACGAAACTGCATCAGTCAACCTGAAAGGGTCTAGAAGACACAGCAAAATTGAAATCTAGTTTGTCAGTACTAGGGATTGGACTCAGGGCCTTTGCACTGAGCTATATCCCCAACCTTTTTCTGAAAGTCTTGGTAAGTCACTAAATCACCCCAGCTGGGCATGAACTTCTAATCTGCCTTCACCTCCTAGACTGTTGGGATTACAGGTGTGTACCATCATGTCTATAAAGTATTTATAAAGGGTCTTACTACCTTGCTGTTGACCCTGAGGCCCCAGGAATCCATTTCCAACAGGTGCCTTGGGTAAATCTTTTGAGCTAGGTCCACAGAACTGTCTTGGTCCAAGCTCTGTCTTGTGTGGGGTACATTCTGGTCGGGGGGCCTCCTGATTGCTGTCTTCAACCCAGCTGTGTTCCCATGGCCCAACTTCCACAGCAGGAGGAGGAGGACGACGAGGCTTCAGGACAATACATGGAGCTGCTGAAGCCTGTTCTCTCTTCCCTGGTGAGGACAGCAGGAGCTAGACAAGGAGGCTGAGGCCTTCAGGTTTTGTCCCAAGCAGCGAGCTTCTGGAGGCCCAACTGACTGGTGCGCCCCCAACCTCTACCATCCCACAGGTGCTCTTCACCGCCAGGTACACTGCCTCCTGGCCTCCCTGGCACTGCCCCGGGCCCTCCTGCCTGTAGTCCCACATGCTGCTCAGGAGCACTGAGTGTATCTGGCACACTGATGGTGGAAGGTGTGCTTAGCAAGAAGTCCTGCACCTTGCAGTTGCTGGGCCCAGGACATCCAACAAGGGATATATAGTACCACACCAGCACTGAGGCTCTGCCTACTTTTCAGCCCCAGCCAAGGTGAGGGGATAAACACGGCCAGGACAGAGATGTTTGCTGGGTCAGGACACAGACTGGGGGGCTCTGAGTGTGGCACCTGGGCATGAGAAGCCCCCTTTCAGGGCAATGGTCTCAGCCTAGGCCTACATATGTCCCTCGAGCTAACACAAAGGACAAATCACATCACGTTGGAGATCATGACAATTAAGTCATTAGATACACACTCAGGGCAGCAGACAACCTGTGAAGGGCAGGATTGCTTTTGAGCTTGGCCCTCAGGGTAGGCAGCAATTACACCCTTAGAGTCCCAGTTCCGAGCTAGGTGTGTGCAAGTTCCCCTCCCTAACCTCCACTATTGAGGTGGGGCGCACAGAAGACTAGCAAGGCAAAAGCTGGCCCTTGGAAAAAACCACAGCCACCAAGACGAGATCACACACATTTTCTACATCCATTATAGCCCTCACTCACAAAGTCACCACTCCAGAAGTTACACGATGGTCTGTGGCCTTGGTGACCCACCAGACTTTGACACAGCTACTAGAGTGTGACAGGGGCAGCTCAGCACCCCACCCAGTCCTGTACTGTGTTAGTGCTCCTATTGTCCAAATTAGTTGAAGGGACTTGATATGCTGAGTGTCCCACACGGATTATCTTCTGTAGTAACCCTCTCCAGCCACCAGAGCAGGACTGTCTGGGTAGTGCCTCTTGCCAGGGCCTCAATTTCCAGGGTATTCGAAGACAGCAGCGGCTCCCATTCCAGTCCCGATGCACATGGACACCACTCCATAAGCCCTGAGGAAACAAAACTGCATTGGCTGGGCAGGGGCCCAATGCCCAACACCCAACTAGGCTGAACTGCATGGAACCCTGCTAGATAACAAAGGATGCAAAACAGCAGACCAGATCCATGGGAAACTGTCACCACTGTCCCCCTAGACACTGTCAAGGTAGCAGATACCCTCTGTTGGGCTGGGATTGCTTTCGGGAAGGCTGATATTACACCTTTGCAGCCTCGGTTCTGAGTGATGTACATACATGTTCACCTCCCCAACCTCCCTAAGTCCACAAACCCCACCAAGTATAACCTCACCTCTTCCCACGGCGCTTCAGCTCGTTGAGGAGTGTGATGACCTGTCGAGCCCCAGTACAGCCCAGGGGGTGGCCCAGAGCCACCGCGCCCCCTAGAGGGTTCACCTTCTCAGGGGGGATGCCCAGCTTCTCCACACAGTACACAGCCTGGAAGGAGCCAGAGTAGCAGCTGACACCTGTGTCCTACCTGTCTGCATCCCATGTGGGGCCAGGCTTGACTGCTCCCTCCCCACATGCTGCCCAGCCCCAGGTAACAGTGAGAGACAAGGCTCACCTGGCTAGCAAAGGCCTCATTGATCTCAAAGATGTCCACGTCATTCACTGTCAGCCCTGCAGGCAAGGTACAGACCTGAGCTAGCAGCAGCCCCTGAGCAGGACTCAGTGGCTCCCCAGACCGCCCCACGCCCAGTGTGTCTGTCTCCTGGAAGGGTGACTGGTTCCCAGCTGTCGGGTCACAGAGAGTTGGGAATGAGGTAAGAGCCTGCTCTACCTTCACTCTGTAGCACCCATAGGGCTGCCCACCCTGCAATCCCCATATCCCCAGCAGTGCAGGAGGGGGACGCTGGGTAAGGTGCCTTACCTGCTTTTTGCAAAGCTACAGGGATGGCATAGGCAGGTCCAATGCCCATGATGTCAGGCGGGACCCCAACGACTGCATAGGACCTCAGGACCCCAAGGATAGGGAGGCCCAACTCTTCTGCCTTGGACCTCCGGGCCAGCAGAATGGCAGCTGCCCCATCACTCACCTGGCTAGAGTTTCCTAGGGGCAAACAGTTGGAGTGAGGAGGCATCAGGGAGAGGCTGAGAAGAACCAGCCCTTCCACGGCCACCTTGTCATGGGGCCTGGTCTGCTCTAGGCTCCCACCCTGGTCCCCGCTCAGGCTTACCAGCCGTGGTGGAGCCACCGTCCTTAAAGGCAGGCTTCAGCTTGGCCAGGCCCTCCATGGTGGTGCTGGGGCGGACACCCTCATCCTGGGACACAGTGATGCTCTCCTTGGTGCCCTTGTCATCGTGTACGGTGGTGGTCACAGGCACGATCTCAGCCCGGAAACAGCCCCTGCTCTGGGCTCTCGCTGCCCTGCCAGCACCATTGACAGCCAGGCTCAGGCTCCACTGGTGTTCCCTTCCTCCCTGTCCTTTGCCAATTCCAGCAGACATGCAACCTCAGGCTGCTAAATTCAGGGACACGCCTGCCCCTGAGAGAAACCTGAGGGACTTCTGGGGGCTCCCCAAGACCCCAACCTGTCCCTGCGAGGAAGAGGCATACCTGAGGCGTTCCAGGCCTTCTTTGAGATCAGCCTTAGATGTCCACATCAAGGCTGTTCCCACCCTTGCAGGAGCAAAGAAGTTTGGAGGTGCCACCCATTCCCCTTACAGGCCTTTATCCACAAAGGACTAAGCTTGCTCAGCCATTTCTGATAAATGAGGCTGAAGCAACAATTAAGTATCTGGCTTAGCTTTCCTGTTGGACCTCAACACCCAAATTTTACCCATTCCCCAGTTCCCCAAATTTAGAGTGCTGTACACTAACCTCTTTGCTGCATTTTCATATTGAAATAGTGAAGCACAAGGCATGTTGGGATAGCCCTTGCAGTCTTGAACAAATACCCAGGGACATTCTAGTGGGAGGATCCCAAAGCTTCCAACAAATGCTCAAATGCTTACCTGGGCCCAAGAAGCTAAGGATCCCTGCCTTGGAGAGGCCCACCTGGCTCAGATACCTCTCTTCTTTTGTCATCTACTCTCTGCAAGGCTGGGGCTGGCTAATGTCACCCGCTGCTGTCCAAAGGCCTGAGCCCCTGAGTTTCTCTGATGTCAGTCCCAGCCCCAGCCTCAGGATGCTTCCCCAGACCCAGGACTGCTCCAGAACCTAAGATGGCAGTGCCCTAGCAGGCCTGAGCCCCCACTCCAGGTCCCCAGAGAAGCCAGTGGCTACCATGACCAGTCACCAAGCCACCATCAGTTCGAAAGGAGTTCTGGCCCTCATTATGGCCCTTATGAAACAGATGGGGCAGTGAGGCCCAGCCGTGAAGACATCAGTGTAGGCAGTCAGATAAAGGACCTAGAAAAGCTATCAAGCCCCACAATGCTGATGGTTCCTTTCTACCTCCAGCGGGAAGGCACGAAGCCTTCAAAGCCCTCTGTGACAGCCATTTCCTCCCGACAACTCCACCTCAGATCAACTAGGAGGGCTTCAAGACCTCACTCTCCAGCCCTTTCACAGTCCTACCCCAAGCAGCACTCACTTCTGCTGGGAGGCCAGTGCAAAGGTATCCTGCTTCTCCCTGGAAATGCCAAACCGCTCAGCCACATTCTCCGAGGTTATCCTAGAACACAAATGGCAAACCAGCAGGTGTGAGTCTAGCAGCCTGAAGGCCAGGACCCCCAGGGCCACAGGGAAGGAGGGCTGGTCCATGCCACAGACAGTAGTGAGGACTCAGGAGGTCGTACTCGCTGCCCCAGGATGTGTGTGGGTACAGGCAAGGAGTCACCAGTGCTGGCCACATCCTCAGAGACTCATACCCCAAAGAAAGACACCCTCACCAAGGGAGGGCAGCCCACATGCAGACAGTGCAGTGGGGATCTGTTTGCTCAGTGAGCTGCCTCAGAACAGGGGAGATGGATAGGAGGGTCTGGAGGGGCACTGATAACTGGCTGCAATTGACCAAGTGCCCCTAACTGGAGGACAAGTGCTTTTATGGGGAGAAGAGGATGTCCGTGTCCCCTTTGGAACAGATGCACTTTAGTCTCCTGCATACCTTATCCTAAGAGCCCAGAGCCACAGCTAGGCCTTGCAGCCTGGCCGCTGGTTTTCCAGGATGCCTTTGGGGATATAGTATGTGGAGAAGTCAAGACACTGCCTTCGCTGAACCTCAGTCTCCTCATACACCTATTGGAGCCAGGACACCCTATCTGTGCGTCCTGGGGGTGGCACATTTGCCACGCTACACCTGACTCTTACTCAGATGATTAGGAATCAAAACCTCTCCTTTCGACTCTCTTGGCCTTCGAGGCTTTGGGGAACAGCTGCCATCATCCTTCACATGAATGAGTATTTCAGAGGGTGAGACTGGGTGGGCTGTATCTGAAAACACAATGGCTCAGAGACCACTTGGAGACATCAGGAAATAAAAGCCAAGGGCAGAATCAAGAGCCACATCCAGGGCAGATGATACCCAAAGGAAGCAGGCCAAGGCCTGGCACCGCCAGCCACAGAGATGAGAAAGTTCCTGCACCATGCTCCAGGATGTGCAGAGTGCTGAGGGGCATAGCATGTGGAGCTGAAGCTGTGAACTCACCCCATGGGTATCAGGCAGTCTCTGGCCTTCTCATTTTCCAGTAGGCGCGAAGTAATATTCCCAGGGTTCCCTCTCTCAGCCAAGGACATGGACTCCACCCTGAGGAGGAGAAGGAAGAGGAGCCCTAGTAGGAACCCCCAGGGATGGCTGAACACATGGAACCCTCAAGAACTCCAGCAGGCGGACTGTGAGGCCTGGGAGAGCACACAGCTGGCAAGGCAGAGCTGGGGCTGCAGAGCTACAGAAACCTGTCTCTACTTCCTTCCACCTGGGACAGGGTACTGCACTGGCCACGCACCCTGGGGCAGGGTCATGCTTCCCTGCGTAACTGCTGACCCAGTCAATCACCGGTTCCCAGCGAAAGCCTTCCAGCATTTTGCACAGTGCAGGGAACACAGCCAATGGGCCCAGGCCCTGCTTCGGAGCCCTCAGGTACAGAGGGAAAAGAGACAAATATAAATCTTTTTTTTTGGTGCTATGTATTAAACCCAGGGCCTCTGCACTCAACTACATCCCCAGCCCTTTTTCTGTTTTTTATTTTGAGATGGAGTCTCACTGACTCACTAAGTTGTCCAGGCTAGGATTGAACTTGTGATCCTCCTGCCTCAGCCTCCCAGAGTGTTGAGATTAGAGGCATGTGCCACCATGCCCAGCTGAGACAAATGTCTCAGTAAGCATATCAAAGAGTCTGCAGAGACATGAGGTGCAAGGGGCTGAGAACAGGAAGGTGGTCACTGCAGGGAGACAAGAGAAAGGTGGGGCATACGCTTCAAGAAGGACAACAGAGGACCTTGCTTAAGTACTTTCTGGTCCCAGCACTAGTTTCAACTCTTTGCAGGCATAAGTGCCCTAAAAACAGGGTCAGTCACATGATGCATGCTCCATGGTGCTAGATGAGATTATGGCTCCATTGGATCCTCTTACAAACCTGGCCAGAGCTGAGGTAAGTATAGCCTTTAATAGGTGAGGACACTGATGTCCTTGGTGGTGAGGAATTTGTTCATAGTCACCCATTCTGACCCCATTTTAGTATGCCCCCAGCACTCACTCCCATCTTGGACTTCTGGATGACACTGTATGCCGAACCTCACAGGGACCATCAGATTGTGCTCTCCTAGCCCAGCTCCATAATAACTCAGCCACTGGCCTTTAACCTGCTGGGGAATCAGAAGCCCCTAAGGAAGTTTTATGAAGGCTCTAGCCCCTCTCAAGTTGCTCATACCTACTGTCCCCCAGTGAGACAAGAACATGAGAGAAATCAAAGGGCAGGCCAGGCATTGGACTTTGCCTTGCCAGAGTCCCTGTTTGTGGCTGTTCTTCAAATGAGACATAGATCAGATAACTCAAGGCCATGTAACCCTGACCTGGTCAGGGGCCAGCAGTGTTTCCTGTCAAGAACCTCGACAGAGGATCTGAAAGGTGGCAAGTATACACAGTACCTGGCTGCTCACCTCCTGAGCCTGCCTGCCTCACACCAGATACTCCCAGCCTGGGCCCCAGTGCCCTTCCTTTCCCTAGAGGCACTGCCAAATGCTGCCAGCAAAGATAGAGTTGGGTGGAGGTGGTGGTAACCAAATCATAAGAGATCCAACATTGCTCAAAAGCTAGCAGACACTCAGATGTGTCCACCTGGGGACAAAGGCAGGGACAGGGGGTTGACAGCTTCGTAAAATGCACACTTATAAAGCAGGAAGCTGTCCCTGGCTTTAGGGAACCAAAACTGCCACTCCAGTCTCAAAAGGAACACAAGTGCTCTATTTCTTCAGTGTGCTTGCCCACATTTCCAGCTTAACAGGTTTCTAAGAAAGAAAGCTGAGACCAACCATCCCTCCCTGCTGGTGTCCACAAGTGAGCCATTCCCCAGCGGCTGGCATTGGGGCCACTTCTGGGCTGCATTTGTGTGAACCAACTCACAGGCAGCTGCTCAGAGGGGCTAGTGGAGAACCCTGAAATCACTGCCTCAGAAAGCTGAGGAAAAGAGAGTTAGTTTGATCATCACAGTTGGTTAATAAACACCAGCAAAAAGAATTCTTACCCACAGGCCATGCCAATGTCATAAGACCCATTTCTGATGCCACCTGCAACAAAAGCATTTCATAACCATCCTTGGCCAGAGGGCATCCGTCCTGGGAGCAGCAAGGTCACTTCCCCACCTGCTTTCTTTTCTGTTGCTGTTGTTTTTGTTTTTGTTGTTTTTGTTTTTGAGGCAGGGTCTCAGTATGTAGTCCAGGCTGACCTGGAGTTTGTGGCAATCTTCCTGCCTTAGCCTCCCCAGTGCTAGAATTACAGACGTGTGACACTATACCCAGCCCCATCTGCTATCTATGTGTGATTCAGCACAGCCTCAGAGATAAAGACCCAGAAGATCGAGAAAGGCTCTCGGGCAGTGGCAAGGGCTGCTCCTACATTCCTTCTGTGCTCCGAAGTCCGGGCAGAAATGCATAACATGGCCCAGAGCAGCAACATTATGGACCCAAACCTGTGGGGTCAGCAGTAAGGCCAGACCACGACCACCGGTGCCACCCACCCACAACTCACCAGCTATGTTGGCCACTGCCTGCAGTCCCGACGAGCACTGTCTATTCACAGTGGACAAAGGGACAGTCTCTGGGATACCACTGCAACAGAAGGGAGATGGCAGTCAGTCCCCTGCCCTGTCAGTCAGTCCCCACAGAAAACAGGCCCATACTTCTGGGCCATACCACTGTCCTCATCAGGGGGTGCACAGACCAGGGAAACAACCATTTTTCCCCCAGTATTGGGTATTGAGCCCCAAGCTTTTGCACTGAGCTACATCCCCAGCTCCTTTTTTATTTTGAGAAAGGGCCTCACTAAATTGCCAAGTTGCTCAGGTCCAGCTTGAACTTGAGATCTTCCTGCGTTCGTTACTCAGAGTGTGGGGAGTACAGGTCTATGTCACCAGGCCTAGCCCAACCTGGCAGTACTTCCCATACCAGGCAGATCCATGGGGCCTGCAGTGGGCAACTCTGGGCAGAGCCTGTCTCTGAAGATGATGTCTCCTGAGCACCTCAAAAGCACATGCCTCCCAGCCTGTGATTCTCTCCAACCCAAGGCAAGGGAGCCTGTTTTGGCCACAGGGATCACTTCGTCTCTCCCTCTGAAGATTCAACAATGAAAACCAGACATATCTGTTTCCCTCAAAGAACAGCGCAGTGATGGGCTCAAAGAAAAGCCAACATCCTCACCCTCTTAACCTTAGTATTGCTTTACAGGGGGACCTTCATGTTCCCACTTGCAGGGAGAGCTGACAGGCACCACAGTTTCAATACCCCTTCTCTGCGGCTCCCCAGGCACTCACCTTGGGCCCAGCCATGAAAATTGGCAGGGTTTGCCCTCAGGACATGCAAGTTGCCTTGACTAACCATGCAAAGCCCTGGGGACAGTTCCAAGCTTCTTCATACCCACTCAGAACCTCTGGGAATGCATGCACCCTGGTGATGCTGGTGTGCAGCGAGCGAACCCCTGACCCAGGGGTGGTGCCAGGTTCTACAGAGGGCTTCCCAGATGGATGGTCTCCTAGACCTGCTGAACTCCCCCCGGTTTTCACCCAGTATCTACGGCACATGAAGCACCATCTGAAGAATGCTCAAATTCTCATAATACTGAGCCCTACAGGATGCCTAACCAACATCTGGAAAATGAATCCACTAACAGGGATGGCAGTAGCAGGGCTGATGTCATAACCATATCACAGAGAAGCACATGGGAAGCTGCTAGAGCAAGAGGTCTCTCATCTAAAACCTGAGAATTCGGGGAAGCCACGTCCAAATGGTAAGACTATGTTTAGGCAGAGTTTAGCTGGGGCAGAGACAGAAGGTGGGAACAGCACCCCAAAAGGCAGAATGAACAGGGTAGGGAAACAGTAGGCAGACAGGCTGGTTGAAGGAGGAAAAGCCCAGGTGAATAAGCAGCTGGGATATGAGCTGAGAAGTCTACAAAAATCTGCACACAGGAAGACCCTGAACAGCACCGTAAGCAGTCTGAATCTTGCTCAGTTCAATTTTTTGTTGTTGTTTTTTGTTTTCCTATTCTGTATCTAGCTAATGTTTCTACATTATTATCTGTACTCCATGCAGCCGAAAGTACAAAGCCACATGTTAAAATAGTTTAAACACTGCTTCCCCATCTTGGGAGAACAAGTGCTGAAGAGCAAGATGACTAAGGCTTCTTCTGGGGCCTGTCTTGTCTCTCCCTGGGTTCTGCCCTATGCTCAAGCCTCTCCTGATGGGATGACACTAGAGTTCCCAGCATGCTCAACTTGCAAAGGGAGCAAAGTCACTGCTCGTCCTGTTTGTGTGGTTATTTACCTGCCAATAAGGACAGAGTCCACCCTTACCAAAGGCACAGAAAACCTTTGCTCTCGTCCCAAAGCCCTATGTGTCTAACTTCTGGGCAGGGTAGCACAACACCCCATAAAGTAGAGGAAAGGTTGGGTCCACAAGAGCAGGATTGCAAGGACTCTGGTTACCTCAGGATCTGGTGTCCAACCGCATACTCCATCACCCATAAGCTGCATTCTCTGGGTCCAGAACCCGCTTAAGAGATGGGGAAAAAAAAAAAAGAAAAAAAGGAGAGCTACAAAGACTAACCCACAACTAGAAGTAAAAAAAGAATTACCTCAGAAACTGGGCAATCCGGGCCATGATGGCCCCAGCGCCAGGCTGAAGCACATTTCCTATGGACAAAAGAAAACATTTAGTGCGAGGAGGTGTTCTGAGCAGTACCAGACAGCTGTGAATACCAGAAAGGACACATTCTAGGTCTTTCTACAGAACTTGAGCTTTCCACAGGCTGATGTGAGGCTCTGGAACTTTAGGGTCTAAAGCAGAGTGACTCAACAGCTTGTTCTGTCATAAGCCAGCCCCAGTAGCAGCGGATCTCAAACTTGCTTGCTCTTATACCCTGCTCTTTAAAAAATCAGCAGAGACAGGACTGTTGGCCTGCTCTTTACAGTTGGGGCTTAGAAAGAGGAATCTTACAAGGCAAAGCTTCAAGTCTAATAGAACTGGTCCTGTGGTGAGGGAAATGACATTCTGAGAATGTAGACTTAAATCACCTATCCTCCTCCCAGGCTTGCTAGAGGAGGAACCATGATTCCCAAGCCGGTATCTGTGAATGAAACTATGATCTATACTATATGGCTGTAGTTCAAGAGAAGAGGAGAAGGGTAAAAAACGAGGTTGGACTGAAGGCCCAGGCCCTGGGTTCACATCCCAGCTTCAGGGCAGATTCACTGAGTCTTAGTTTCTCCATCTGTATATGAGCCGCTGCACTAGAGGGTTTTGACATTCTCTCTTCTGTTCTGGCATAGACAGGATGTCATGGTAGTAGAGGACCCTGCCTCCTGCCTCCTGCCTCCTAGATCGTCTGGGAACCCCTGGGTATGAGAATGTTTGCGCTTATGACTTCTGCTTTTTGGGGCCAACAGGCTGATGTTCTGCTAACAGGCAGAACGCACGTGCAAGAGGCATGAAGTGTCTGAGGTGTCCGAGGTGGGGGTGGCTGGTTCCCGGGAAAGGGCTGCAGACAGTGGAGTGCTTTGCCCGTCCCACCCGTGAAAACTAGGGCTGAGAAGTGTGGGCTCCGGAGGACGGGGGATCAGGTGGCGGGCTCACCCACGGAGATGTCTCCCAGCTGCTCAGGCCTCAGATTCACGTCCTGCAGAACCGCGGTCAGGACGGCCGCCAGGAGCTCGTCGGGAGTGGTGTCCTGCAGCGGGACGCAGCCCGGTGAGCCCGGCTCCCACACCCGGCCTGGCACAAGGCGACCCACGCCCCCACGGGTCCTCTCAGCCCGGCGCTCACCCCAGGGCCTCACCTTGAAGCCGCCGCGGCCCGCTCGGCCGATGGCGGTGCGGCGTCCGTGCACCACCACCACGTCCGCAGCCGAGGGCGGTGGGAAACCACTGTGGCACGGCTCGGCCTGCAATGCCGGGCCGGTCTGGGGCCGACCGCTCAGGTGGCCCAGCACCACCTGCAGCCTCCACATCGCACCGCTGGAGGAGTTGAGCATTCCGGGATCACGGTTTAGCGCTCACCAAGTCGGAAACAAAACCTCCGCCCGCGCAGGCGCAGACTGCTCCCAGGGGAGGTGTAATCACCGCCCGCAGTGCCTAAGAGAACTGCCTTGCTGCAGAGGTCCCGCCTACCTCTACCACAGCCAACCAGAAGAAAGAACTGCCTGAGGACACGCCCCCGGCCCAAACACTTCGGCTCACAGGACTTGCCTAGCTCTTTCCATTCAAAGTCCCGCCTACTGTGGCCCTCCGCGGCCAATCAGAAGATGAACGTTTCGTAAGCCTCGCCCAGACAATTTCCGCCTCTTTCACAACCTTTTGTTGTCAAACTGGAGGCTAAACCCTAGCCAGGGCATCTGGGAGGGAACCCTACCCTAACCCGACGGAAACACGGAGCTCCCCTCCGAAGTCCTGCCCACAGCCAAATGGAAGCCTGGGCCGCCAGGACCTCTGCATGGGATCTTGCAGTGGATGCTGAAAGCGGTCGGGACTCCACCTCCTGTTCCCCTTCCACGTCGGCGCTGCAATGATCGGGTGAGGACCAAAAACTGAGCCCGAGGACCAAAAACTTCCAGGCCCCGAGATCTGCTCCAACGGGGTCGCTTCTTCCGAGATGTTTTTCCAGAAGAAGAAGGAAATTTGGGACTACTGGACGGCGCGGAGAAAGGATTTTGCAAAACTTCGCTCTTCAGCTGTAGAGAGACACCACCCTTCTTACACCAATTTTGTAGTCACTGAGGTGGCCTGATCTATGCTCATCTTCCCCGCTAGAAGGGGTCTCCACCAAGGCAGAGGACACCCTGTATCCGGGTGCCTGCGAAGTGATTAATACATAGATACGTGTTGAATGAGTGAACGAACCGGGACTCCCTTGTCTGGACCGCAAAACTAAATGCCTCCCATTCCCGGGGGCAGGGCCATGTGTTTACCCGAGACCCTGGAGAGTACTAGCAGGCCTGTCCCAGACCGGGAAAGACAGGCTACCCCGAGAATCCCATCCTTGGAGGACAGAGTCATCCCCGCCCCAGGGCTCAGACTCCAGAAGTCTGTGCGTCCCTTCCCATTCCCCTCCCCCATGCACAGCTGACCTCTCCCCTTGCTCCTACTGGCAGGATCGAGTGGCCCCAGAGACCTCGCAGGGCGGACCGTGTGCTTTCCCCTTCGTTCCCTCCTCTAATCCTCGACTGCAGGATCGCCTGAATCTCTTATATCCCTTGGGGATGTGATTCCACCACTTCCCAAGGAACAAGATGGGTGCCCTATAGCCTCCTCGAGGGTCGCCTCCCCTCGTTCCCGCCCCAATCGCACCACCAGCAGAGCCTAGAGGGCAGGTCAGTCGATCTCCCCAAACCTCAAAGGGAAGGTCATGGGTTCTCACGCCCCTGTTCCCGGTCCTCCAAGGCAGGAAAGGGTGCCCCACAGGGGCGCCCCGCGCGGGGCGGTGCTTCTCGGAAAGCGAAAGCGGGCGGGGCAAGCGAGGCCGCAGAGGAAGGGGAAGCCGCCGGGCGGGCGACGCGACCTGAGGCTCGGGCCACCATGGCTTCGCCCGTCCCCAGCGAGGGCTCTGCGCCCCCCTCGGTCTCCACGTCCTCCTTGCCCCTCGCTGCGCTCAACGTGCGAGTGCGCCGCCGCCTGTCGCTGTTCCTCAACGTGCGGACCCAGGTGGCGGCCGACTGGACGGTGCTGGCAGAGGAGGTGGGCTTCGACTACTTGGAAATCCGACAGCTGGAGACGCGCCTCGACCCCACCGGCAGCCTCCTGGACGCCTGGCAGGGGCGCCCCGGCGCGTCAGTGGGCCGGCTGCTCGAGCTTCTCGCCAAGCTGGGCCGCGACGACGTGTTGGTGGAGCTGGGGCCCAGCATCGGTGAGAACACCCTCTTCCTGGCCTTGTAGCCGGGCGGAGCAGGCTGAGCTCACCGGTAGCCAGTCTCGACCGCACAGACCCTCCTTCCGGAGAGGGGACGAGGGGTGGGGGTGGGTGTGGGTGGCTGGGCTCAGTCATCCGGAAAGGTGAGGAGGACCAGGAGACGGGGAAGGTAGGGGGTGAGCTCGGGGAAAGGCTTTTGGGTTGGGCCAGAAGTCAGAATCAGGCTTTACTGGGCATCAGGCAGAGCAACAGGTCAGGTGAGGGAATACAACCTATGGTCTAGGAAGCCTCAGGTGCTCAGAAAATGCGACCCCTTCTGCCACTCAGTGGCATTACCAAAGTACCTGCGCAGGCGGTCAGCTGCCCACATGCAGGTGCGTCTTTCTGGGTAGGAGTCGCTTCCTTCACTGTGACATAGACCTGGCCTTCTTTTTTGCCAGTCCCCTGCTCACATCTGACCTAGCTCCTGGAAGAAGTAGACCTTGCTTCCATTGTTGGGGTACCAGGGAACTTGGAGAAGGGGACGCAAGAGACACAAACCTCACCTCAGTGGCTTCCCAAATGGCCACAACACCACTGACATCCCTTTGGGAGGACCTGAGCCTGGGGGTGGGGGGTGGAGGGTGTGCTCAGCCTGACAAAGCCAAAGAACTGAGCAGTGTCCCAGAGGTGGGAGATGGGACTAGGGCTGCCTCCTGACTGAGGCAATTTGGAATTCCCAGACAGTACGGAGAAAGGATTTTGCAAAGCCCTGGGTGGAGGGTTGGGGCCCCCTCAGGAGACTGACTCACCCTGACTCCTCCCCACAGAGGAGGATTGCCAAAAGTACATTTTGAAGCAGCAGCAGGAAGAGTCTGAGAAGCCCTTACAAGTGGCCAGAGTAGACAGCAGTATCCCACGGACAGAAGAGCCTTTTGGCATCACCACACTCGATGACCCCCTGGGTAAGGGACAGCAGTGTTCCATGGCACAGGTGGGACAGGTGGGGCATGGACAGGGCAGCATGCAGAGCATGGATGTTGCAAGCAGATGGGCTGTGGGTCATTGGTTTGTTTTCTTTTTTTCTTTTTGGTACCAGGAATTGAACTCAGGACCTAGCGCTTGCCAGGCAGGCGCTTAGGCCGCTGAACTATATCCCCAGCCCGGGCTGTGGGTTACTGGGCAAATCACTTTACTTTTCTGAGCCTAAGTTTCCACACCTAGGAAATGGCATAATAGTCCTACCTCTGAATTGGTCTGAGACTCTCATGAAATGATGTGTCTGAGTCATAGTTAACTCAGGGCTTGGGCCTCCAAAAGGACTCGTCTTTCTTCTGATGGGGAGGATACCTTTTGTGTGTGGGTCATGTCATCTTGGGATGGGTGCCAGGCCCAGGACCAAGTTGCCTAGGTGGGCAACTCCTGGCTGGACCTCTCTCTGGGATCCTGTGAGCTCTGGCCATCATTTTTGTGCTCTGCACACAGGCCAAGTGCCAGAGCGTTTTGATGCCTTCATCTGCTACTGCCCCAGCGACATCCAGTTTGTGCAGGAGATGATACGGCAACTGGAGCAAACAGACTATCGGCTGAAGTTGTGTGTGTCTGACCGAGATGTCCTTCCAGGCACCTGTGTCTGGTCCATCGCCAGTGAGCTCATCGAGAAGAGGTTGGGTAGAAGTCCAGGGGGGTAGGTGGGTGTGCTCAAAACCCAGGGGAACAGATGCTGGGCTTTTCCTGCCTGCCCAAGCACAAGAGACCCCCAGAGGCTGTCCCCACAAAGTTATGCTGAAGTGAGTTACCACAAAGTCTGCAGCCTGCCCGCTCTCCTGTAGGTGCCGCCGGATGGTGGTTGTTGTCTCAGATGATTACCTGCAGAGCAAGGAATGTGACTTCCAGACCAAGTTTGCTCTCAGCCTCTCTCCAGGTAAGCTCACCCCCACCCTGACCAGAGAGGAGTGGTTAGATGGAGACTTAATGCCAGCCTTCCCTCCCTCAGGGCCATAGAATTAGCACCAAAAAACCTCTATAGGTCTCTGCGTATCCAAGCAAGTGTGTGATATATCTATGTGCCTCTTTATGTGGTACTACCTAGCTAAGGAAGAGTTGGTATTATTCCCTGATTTGGCAACTGAGACTGCCTCATTACATCCTGGTACCAGCACTGTACCTCTTGGCTTGCAGGTGTGCATCAAAAGCGACTGATCCCCATTAAGTACAAAGCAATGAAGAAGGAGTTCCCCAGCATCCTGCGGTTCATCACAGTCTGTGACTACACCAACCCCTGCACCAAGTCTTGGTTCTGGACCCGCCTTGCCAAGGCCCTGTCCTTACCCTGAAGATGACTCTGGGACCCTGTGGGTGCTGGCATCTGTCTGCCTCTTTTGTGTTTGTAGGGGGTCTACATGCCTCTTCATTTTTAGAGATGCTAGCTGCCGGCACATCTGCAGCAACCAGACACTGTATGAACACCACGTCTTAGGTCCTGCATGGAACCAATGGCTGCAAGTGTCAAGGACAGTGATGAACGGGATCAGTTGGGACTAATTAGAGGACCAGCCAAGCCACCTCTGAGCCATTTATACATCTTCAGCCTCACTTTCTTCATCTGGCAAATAGGATGCGGAGATTAGGCAGTAGCTGCCTCTGTATCACTGCAGGAAGTGGTAAAGTGATAGCCTGGCTGTTCTGGGAGAGAGCTGGCCTCTCCAAGATTACATGATGACCACTACTGGAACTACGGGCAAGCTGGTACCTCACTGCCACCCCCTATCCTCCCTCCTCTTCACAGGACAGATGGGAAAGCAGGCTGATCCCAGCAAGGTATCCCATCTCAAGCCTGATTCTCTTGTGGGGCCTTGTCTCATCTGGATTGTTGACTCCTGCCAGCCTCTGCCCTACCTTGAGTAGTGACAAGTCCCCTAGAGCCCTGAACAGTACCCTGAACAGCTGTGGCTGCTAGATGCCCAGAAGCACACCTCAGTTCTGTGGGGACAGGATGGGGCTCTGGCTTCTGGTATATCCATCAGATATGTGCTCTGGGGTTGGGTCACCAGGGCAGTGTCAGCAGGGACCCTATCTCCCTGGGCCACCCATAGTGAGCTCCCTTGATTGCCTTGTTTGTTGACAAAGACAAGAGTGTTCCACCCTAAAGCTTGTGGCTATATGACCACATACTATCTTGCACACTGACACAGTGCACCTCCCACAGGTATGAGTCCCACCATCCAGGGGACTTGACTATGTCTGCGAATAAAATGAAGCACTCTTGATTCCTCTACTCTTTTTTCCTTACTCTGTAGACCTGACTGTTTTCTCCATCCCAAAACTGTTTGTGTTCCATCAAGCTGTGTATCAGGGAGAAAATGTCATAGTCCCAGGTCTCTGTGCCCCAGGGTAGAGTCTAGAGCCCCAAATTCAATAGTAAGTGTCTTCTCTGTGCTACCTTCAGCAAGGCATGAGCAGGGTGCTTTCCCTCTGTATGTTGGGAAGGAATGGAAGCCTTCCTCTAGGAATGTGAGATCTTGTTGAAGCACTTCGTTGAAGCACTTAGATGCCATGCATCTGTCCCCCTTTGATACTGGGCATTTTAAAGTAATTTGGAGATAGTGTTTTCTATACCTGTTCTATATGCTTTGTGAGAATTTCAAAGACATCTGAGAAGTGTCCATGTTTGTCATTTGTCCTTTTGTATTCAAGGTTTATAATAAAGAGTATTCTATCTTGGGAAGGCATATTTGTTTGCGTGCTTATGCAAAAGAGTTTTGAAGCAGTAACCTGGGGTAAGACTTTCCCAGGTAAGGGCAGGCTCTTCCAGACAGCTGCGCTCTTCCTTACTGGGTCAGGCCAGAACCAAGAGCTGGCCTCAGCTCCAGATGCTCAGAGTCTGCTTCCACCTGCTATGCTGGGCCTTCTCTGGATTGTGCCATATCATGGGTTCTGCTCTTCCAGTGTATATGGCTGTTTTTCTAGGCTCTGAATAGTCTAGAGGACCCCACTCCCATCACATCTCCTGAGGTCTCAGGTGTTCCTGATGTCTTCCTTGGTCATATCTATGTCAGGCAAAACTATTGATCTATTTTTGAAGGAAAATATACTGCTATTTCACTGTTTGTTCTAGAATTTTTTTTTGAGATAAGGTCTTGCTATATATTGCAGGCTGGCCTTGAACTCACAGTGATCCTCCTGATTCAGTCTCCCAATTGATGGGATTACAAGTACATGCCACAATGCCTGGCAGAATATTGAAAATACAAACAACCAAAAACTGCAGCCATGATCCTAACCCCAGAGACAATTCTAGTGCCATATTAGAGAGCTCAGGCATTGGTGACTGCAGCTTTCCCTCCAGTGGCACATTTGATGCCCTGACCTCGTTCCTGGGCCACCTGCCCGCTGTGGGCTCCCTGGCCCAGCTCTTGGCCTTTGGGGACATCTGGGAAGGCTCCGTGCATCACAGCAGTCCTGAGGCAGGACTTTCCCCTCCATTTTCCCCTGGCAACTTCCCCAGGGTCTGTCTTGTGCTGCCCATATCCAGGGAGATAGTCCAGGGTTTGCTGCCTTTGGGAAGATTCACTGCTGTAATTACCAAAGACAAAAGCAGGAAGTTTTGCAGAGTAACAACAAAGATAAAATACAGAAGGGCAATTCTGTGTGGGACTGGGCCTGGACTTTTCCACAAGTCAATGACGAGAGAGAGAAACAGAAGAATTTCCTCCAGATTATGTAAGACATGAGTCATAACAATAAAATGTATTTGTGGAGGATGACTTTGTTGTGTTGTGATTTAAACAGACCAAGTGCAAAGAAATAATGTTAGGTCAAGGGGATTAATCCAGAATATACAGAGATTCCCTCTTATCTTTGGGGCATACGATCCAAGACTCCAATGGATGCATAAAATGCAGATAGTACCGAACCTTTATAGAAACAAGGTGATACCTTGATTTGGGTCTCGTAACCTATGCAGTTACAAAGTAACCAACAGGCAGATAGTAGGCACATCATGGACACATTGGACAAAGAGATGCTATCCACCCAGTTCAGGAGAAATCAAGACAGCGAGAGATTTCATCATGCTTCTAGAGTGATGCTCAACTGAAAAATCAAGAATTGTTTAGTTCTGGAATTTCCCACTTAATATTTTCAGACCAAGGTTGATTATGGGTAAATGAAAGTGCAGAAGGGGAGATTGTAGTTAATCAAAAATACTGTGTAAGGGCCAAGGATGTAGCTCAGAGGCACAAGTGTCTGCTTGGCAAGTGCAAGGTCCTGAGTTCAATTCCCGGTACCAAAAAAATATATACTGTGTAAAAAATCCTATGTATCTCAACAACAAAAAGACAATGTGATTCAAAAAGGGGCAAACAATTTAAATAAACATTCCTCCACAGAAGATGTACACATGAAAATAGGCACATGAAAAAATGCTCAATATCAGTAGCTAGAGAAATGAATCAGAACCATATCACATCCATTAGGATGGCTACTATCAAAAATCCAGAATACAGCAAGTGTTGGTATAGATGTAGAGAAATTAGAATGTTGAGCATCTGGGACTGGTGGCGCACACCTGTAAACCCAGCACTCAGGAGGCTGAGGAAGGAGGATCACTGTGAGTGCAGTGTCAGCCTTGACTATGTAGTGAGTTCAAGGCCAGCCTGAACTGCATAGTAAGACCCTGTCTCAAAAAACAACAACAATAAAAGTCATTGTAAAATGTTGGTATTATATAGCTGCTATGATTCTATATAGCAGGTCCTAAAGAAATTAAGAAGGAGATTGTCATATGATCTAGCAGTTCCACACAACAGAAAAAGAGACATTCTTGAAATAATTAGAGAAATTTGGGCATTTGGTGATGGCCTAAAGACTTAAAAATAGGGACTTGAAGAGATACATGTATACTTATGCTTAGAGCAGCTTTTGCACAATGGTCAAAAAGGTGGAACCAATCCTGTGACTATTGACAGATGAATGTATAAACAATATGTGGTGTGTACATATAATGGAGCATCGTTCAGCCTTCAAAAGGAAGGACATCCAGCATATATTGCAGCACTAATAAACCTTATACTAAGTTCAATAGGCATTCATAAATGAACAAATGCTGTATGATTCTACTTACATGAGGTCTCTAGAGTAGTCATTCATAGAGGCGAAAGTGAAATAGTGGCTGCCAGGGGCTGGGGGAGCTATTATTCAATGCATATAGAATTTTTGTTTTTCAAGATGAAAAGAGCTCTGGAGACTAGTTATATAGCAATATGAATATACACAACACTCCTAAAGTGTATGCTTAAAAATAATTAAGTTAGTTAATTTTATGTCATGTGTATTTTGACACAACAAAAAATGAGACATTCTTGGAATAACTAGAGAAATTTGGGCATTTGATGATGCAAAAGAGTTGTTACAGATTTTATTAAATATGACAATATCATAGTGGTTATATATTTTTAAAAAACTTCCACATCTGTCATTGACCAATTTCAAAGTATATTGGTATGAAATGACCAATGTCTAGGGTTTGTTTTTAAATATCGAAACAAGCTAGGCGTGGTGGCATATGCCTGTAATCCCAGCACTCAGGAGGCTGAGGCAGGAGGATCGTTGTAAATTGTAACCTGGGCTACAAAGTGAGGTAAGGGCCAGTCTGAACTGCATAGTGAGATCCTGTCTCAAAAAGACCAAACAAACACACAAACTAAACAACTTCTGAAAGAAAAAAATTACAGGATACATGACATAACTGTGACCACTATTAGTAATTGCTAAATTGGAGATTCATTTCATGTCTCTTTATTTATTTATTTATTTATTTACTTATCTATCTATCTATCTATCTATCTATCTATCTATCTAGGCAACTGAATCTAGAGCCTTTCCCTTGAGCTACACTCCCAGCTTTTTTTTGAGACAGTCTCACTAAGTTCTCCAGGCTGGCCTTGAACTAAGGATCCTCCTGGGATTACAGGGGTGTATCATCATGCCTGTTCTTTGAGGATTTGCTTATTTCATTGGTCCTGGCTAAGGAAGGGACAATGTGAGCTAAGCACAGTGAAAGAACTAAGCTAAAGCCCGGTGAAGAAACTAAGGCACAAATGCAGGAAAACTGATAACACAAGAGTCAAACAGCAGAGCCCTGGGCAGCAGATGTATGGGCTTGTGCTAAAGACAGCAAGTCCCACAAGTTCCAAAAACAGGTCTCTGTAGGTCAGGCATCTTGAAAGGACCTCTGGGGCTGGGGAAATAGGTCAGCGGCACAAGCGCCTGCCTGGCAAGTTCAAGGTCCTGAGTTCGAATCCTTGTACAAAAGAAAAAAAAAAAAGGAAAGGGCCTCTGGAGGCAGATGGTCTTGAGGTGGGCTCTAAGAGGTGGTGTAATGGGTTGGTGGAGACCAGGAGGAAAAGCAGATTCAAGCAGTAAGGGATTAATGTAAGTGGATGGGGGAAGCAAGAGGCATTTCGGGGTGGAAAACAGACTGGTCAGACACGGGAGAGATGACTGGGCCCCTGGAACTCAGCTGCAGCAGGGCTCTTGACTGTGTCTGATGGGAAGGATTGCTGGACTGGAGTGTGCAGAGTAGGTTAGTTTAGTGGTTGCGTGCAAGGTGGAATAAGGAAGTGAAAAAGCATAGCTGCTATTTTTGCTTCAGACAACTGCTCAAACTAAAATGAGAGGAAGTGACAACTAACCAACAGGAGGGACTCTGTGGTCTCCAAATTTCCTCTTTTCTCAGATCAAACCCCATAAGGTCCGTTCCAGTCGCCCCTGTCCCAAGTACACCAGCATCAGTTCAACTTGCCAGGACCTAGCTCTGAGAGCCTGTGCTAAGGCCAATGACCTGTGAGGGCAGACTTGTGTCCTCCAGGGTGGTTAGGCTCCTCTGCTGGCTTAGCCCTAAGTGAAGATAAACCTGTATTTAGAATGCCAGCCCCATCGACTTTAAACTTACCTCTTTCCAGAGAAGCACTGTTTAATAGAAATACAATCTGAGTCATATGTGTGCTTCTAAATTTTGTAGTAACAACTTTAAAAAAGTAAAAAGAAGTATTAGGGATATAGATTAGTAGTAGATTGCTTGCCTAGTATATACAAGGAGCTGTATTTAATCCCCACTACTGCTGGTGGAAATAAAAAGTAACCCAAAAAAGGAAGCGAAATGAATTTTAATAATACATTTAATTTTGCCCAATATATCTAAATTGTTATTTCATTATGTAATCTATTTTAAAACTATTTGCAAAATTTTTTTTTTTTTTTTTTCTCCGGTACCGGGAACCGAACTCATGACCTTGCGCATGCCAGGCAGGTGCTTTTGCTGCTGAGCTAAATCCCCAGCCCCCTATTTGCAAAATTTTTATATTTTTTCATATTAAGGCTTAAAATCTAGTGTGCATTTTATGCTTACAGCAGATCTCTTTTTTTTTTTTTTTTTTTTTTTTTCTTTTTGAGACAGGGTCTCGCTGTGCAGTTCAGGTTAACATTGAGCTCACTTTGTCACCCAGGCTGGTCTCAGACTCACAGTGATCCTCCTGCCTCAGCCTCCCAAGTGCTGGGATTACAGGCGTATGCCACCATGCCCATTTTACAGCACATCTCAATTTGGAACAGTCACATTACAAATGGCTAGTGGCTACCTTATTAGGCTGAGCTATGGAATCCCATGCAGTGTGGTCCCTTCAGAGTAGCAGTAATGTCCACTACTCAAAATAATGACTCTTAGGCCCTA